ACATCACAAAAATATATGAAGAATAACCTGAACAAAAATAACACATGTGTAGAATAACATGGACACAAATAACACATGTGTAGAAAAACCAGAACAAGGGATCTTTGAGATTACGCCTTTCTGAAATAGTGTTTGGTTATTCATTCTTAACCGATTTCTATCTATGAACATAATTTTAAATAATAAATTAATATCTTTTCATTAAGATCTTTCTATATTTGCTAAATAAATAATGATAAAGGTTTGTACCTTTTGATTTTGAAGTAGACAACCTTCAGAACATATGATAACTCTTCATACTATTTGCATGAGACGGAAGATTAAATATAAACGAGGCCCCACAATGAGACTTAAAATGCATTACTTCAACTTATTTTTGTCCTTTTCAACAGACGATTTTTTTCGAAGATAAGAAAACACGAGTTTAATTGGAACAAGTCTATCAAAGTTTGTTTGTTATGCCTTCTATGATAGCTTTGTAAATATTTACACATACCCCAAAGCTTATAATATTTGCCATATTAAGTACTCATTGTGCGATCCATTCTGGCTAGTTATGAAGTCTTTTTGTGAGACTTCAGTGTAAGAAATTAAAGTAACTGAATTACTTAGATCACAGATATTAGCCTTATATTTATGTTGCGAATAATAGTGTGTTCTTTGCTTAGATCACACAGATTTTAGACTAATATAAATGTTGTGTTCATTGCTTAGTTCATATATATGTTAGATTTAAATAAATGTTGTGTCAATTGCATATATCACACAGAATAATAGTATGTTCTTTGATTAGATTACACAGATTTTAGACTAATATAAATGTTGTGTTCATTGCTTAGATCATATATATGTTAGATTTATATAAATGTTGTGTCAATGGCATATTCTACAGAATAATAATATATATGTTCTTTGATTAGATTACACAGATTTTAGACTAATATAAATGATGTGTTCATTGCTTGGATCATATAGATTTTAGATTTACATAAATGTTGTGTCGATTGCCAATATCACACATATTAAAAGTGTATTCTTTGCTTAGATCATGTAGATTTTAGACTTATATAAATGATGTGATTAAATAACACAAATTGTAGACTAATATCAATGATGTGTTCATTGCTTAAATCAAATGGAGTTTAGACTTATTTAAATGGTGTGTTCATTGCTTAGATCACACTGATTTCAGACTTATTTCAACGATGTGTTCTTAAGTCTACCATATTACCTAAGATGTATTTGGAAAAACCTTCTGGAATTTTCGGTCTTCAATGCTCTTTAACTTCGTACGTTATTTGGCCTTTTAAACTTTTTTGATTCAAGCGTCACTGATGGGTTTTTTCTAGACGAAACATGCGTCCAGCGTACAAAATTTTAATCCTGGTATCTATGATGAGTTTATACATAAGCAACAATTTTAATTTTAAGAATAATGAGAGGCAGTAGTTTACCTTTGTCTATGTCCAAATCTCATAACTCCATATAGAAGATACAAATCAAGGCAGTAGTGTCCCTTTATGTCCAAATATCATAGAAGATACAAATCAGGGCAGTAGTTAACCTTTGTCTATGTCCAAATCTCATAACTTCATATAGAAGATACAAATCAAGGCAGTAGTTTACCTTTGTCTATGTCCAAATATATTAGAAGATACAAATCAGGGCAGTAGTTAACCTTTGTCTATGTCCAAATCTCATAACTTCATATAGAAGATACAAATCAAGGCAGTAGTTAACCTTTGTCTATGTCAAAATCTCATAGACGATACAAACCAAGGCAGCAGTTTACTGTCTTTGTCCAAATTTCGCAACTTCATATATAAGATATATTTGTCTATGTCCAAATATCATAGAAGATACAAATCAGGACAGTAGCTAACCTTTGTCTATGTCCAAATCTCATAAATCTATATAGAAGATACAAATGAAGGCACAGCACAAAACAAATAAAATGTGGGAATCGCATTAACCCCAAAAGGAGCAAGACCGGGAGCGTCGGCAGGATAAAACCTTTGAGTATTTTGATAACAAAATTGTTACAATCGCCAGGAGACACTTTCAGGTGACATATTTTACAGAGAAAATGTAAATAGAGAAGATATTAAAGATGAATATCATATTATCACTCATATAATCTGCATTCGATAGGTTCATCCCACTATCACTAGTTTTTTTTTTTACATAATATCTTCATTTTGTCAAAAGTATTGTAAACTTGTTTACATTTATATTATTGCATGTTAAACATTGTCAGGAGCTTTCATACTCGTAGTAAGATGTTTAAATCTTTTTTAGTTATTTGTTATCTAACCAATTTTCCTCATATATCTGAATAGCGTTTGCTTTTATGTTATTTTTTTTTGCTTTTTGGTTAGATAAAGATATTGGAATTCTAGGTTTCCTAATCATAGTTTAAGCTATCAACCAAAGGTCATCAAGTTATTCAAAAGCATCTGACTTACGCATGTGGAATTGCGAAGATTCGATGAAAGATACGTGTATCAATGACTTTAGAGATTAGATGAAAATACGTGTATCAATAACTTTAGAGATAAACAAATGCAAAAAATTCTTTTCTCTTCCTATATTGAAGCATTGCTTTAAATCGTTAAGTATACCGATTCAATGATGGACTATAGAGTAAGTAAAAATTGATTTGGAAGATAATTCAGGTAAAATTCTGACGTCAATTAAAGATTTTCCTTTGAAGGTCCAGGTATTTCCGTAAGATTTAATTCTCGATAGATATTTAAATAAATCCTGAAGCAACTTAACTTCTAATTTTCTAAGCATATCTATAACGAAAAGTAAAAGCATTGATTTTGAGCACGTTTTTACATTTCAGGATAATGGAAGTGGTATTTTTTTCTTCCTTCTTAGGTGTCCTGATTATTTACCTACAAATAAAGTAATGAATGATTGTAGACAATCGATTAAAAACCTCACAGACACAAGAAAGAGCTGAAAGTAGAAAACAGTTTTCGATTTTCTTGAAGTTTTAAATGTTGTCTAATGCGTCATTTTTATGCTGAATTTAGCTTGTTGAAATGTCATTAAATTCTAAGGAGTGTTCAAAACCAAACAGATTTTTTTTCTAAACAAATAGTCTTTTACATCTTCCGATCAATTTAATATAATAATGACCGCTCTAATGGTAGCTACATTAAGGACTTTTGGGATAAAATTCTGAAACGAAGAGAATAACATGAAAAAAGTTAGACACAACCAAATTCATAGAAGTATTGTAAAGTCTAAATAAAATAAATCATGTGAAATTTCATAATCTTTTTCACAATGTTACCTTTAGTAACTTACAACATGAAATATGAGGGTTTTAGTTTTCAAGTAGTGCATTTCCCTTTTCGAGGAGCAGCATCCTATTTCATCTTACTCAATGACATAAAAGGTTAAAATAAAGGATATAGGACTTCCACAACACAATTATCATTTCCACATACTTTTAAGAATGAAAATGTTAACGTGCAAAATTCAGTGCACAATTTTGGTACAAAAGAAGGAAAAGAAAATAAACATACAGCTCTTTAATATTTTAATAAGAGGACGGTCGATTTCCCCTGTAATAGTTTTACTTATAGAGCCACAGTCTGGACGTTTCTGAAATCTACTGATATTTATATTTAAGATGACCAAATTGTATACATATAAGATTTATCTATAGTTGGACATATAATAAAAAAATAATTCACATATTTTTGTTAATTTTGCAGGACATCTGTAATAAAAATTTAGTTTATTTTTGTATCTGACAGTGAATGCACAGCTTTGCATGTTCATGATTTGAATAAACACACACATGTACCAAAATAGGAGTTTAATGCCATCTACTTAAGAATAGTTTGGAATAAACCATGATACTGATGCATACAAAAGGCGGGAAACCCCTTTTTCAAAATGACCCATGCATGCAATAATTTCTAGGAAAATTTGCCCTACCTGTTTGTTGAATAAATAGTCAGTTTAGATCTTAACATACCAATAAGAATGTGACAAAAAATACTATGATATGTTATTTGAAAGGTGTGTTAGATATAGGTATTTGATGTAAAAATTTAAAAGTCAGACCTTATTAAAACATTTGGAGATCATGGTTTCTCTTTCAGTTGAAACAGGGTTATGAAACAGCTTTCATTAACTGCAAGTACTCTTAGATCGGTACTTTTGTGATTTTTGTGATTTTGTGATTTGTTTTGGTTGTAATTATCAATACGACGAGTCAAGCACCTTCCAACTGATTCTTAATAGATGTTCTTATGAAGTCGCTACATCACTGTTCCAGATTAGAGGATTCACAACCATGTTAAACACCTCCAAATTCGTTATGTACCTGTCTTAAGACAAGATTCTGTAATCCACCGGTTGTTGTTTATTGTCGTCAGCCATATTCATTTTCCTTTCATTGTAGTATAAATTTCTCCCTTTGACTTTTGTTTTACCGAGGCCTTTAGAAGCTTACATTACGGTATGGGTTTTCCCAACTTTAATTAAAATATAAATCTCTGATTACATTATCCTCTTATGCTTCGACGGAGCAAGCGAGTTCCGATAGATCTAAATTTTAATTAGATTTGGGTTTTGCTCATCGTTTACAACCATGCAGTGACCTGCAATTATTCGCACCTTTTTTTCTGAATGGATGGTTGCCTAATTGGGAATCATAGCATATCTTTATATTTTTGTATCAAGTGTTTTTCATCTCTCTTTTTGTTCCAGATGTAGGACAGTACTAGAGAAAGTTTAATACGTTTTCGGTTATGCACAGTTTTCAATTTTGCACGAGACATGTCAGTGATTCCCAAAAATAATAAGTGTCTGTCTTGTGTCTTATGTAATTATCATTTTGACTTAATTTCGTTGCAATGGGCGTCTAGTCCACTTTCCCTTTTTATTTCATTCACGCATTTACATTGTACTCTATGTGTTTGTTGAAGAACTTTATAGTTAACATAATAAAAATGGCAATTTTTTGGTATTTACAGACAGCAGTTTTATTTTGGCAAATGCAAGGATCATGGACTATCCTATTGTGTACTGTAACGACGGATTTTGTAAACTGGCTGGTTATAGTAGAGCAGAAGTCATGCAGAAAAGTAGCACTTGCAGTTTTATGTATGGTGAACTCACGGATAAAGATACGGTCATTAAAATTGAAGAATCGTTTGAGGAATTGGAACAAACACAAGTCGAAGTTCTCCTTTACAAGAAAAATAGTAAGTTATAAGGGGAAAATCATCATTCACAATTAAAAAGACTTTATATAATACAAACACACAAAAAGTCAAATACCAGTTAAGCACTTTTTGTATCAAGCCCTGTTCCGCAGATATATTTGATCTAATAACGTGATTGTTGGTTGTAATGACTTAATACACTGACGGAAGAAGTCAATTTAATAGCATATTTAATCTTAATTATCATGATGGTGTATTTTTTGTCAGATCTATTTACATATGCGCAATTGACAGATGAACTAAAGATACTTTTGTAACGGAGATTGACAGAAAAGAATGTTATTCCAAATGCAATTTCTATTTTTACCATATATTTTGGTACTGCTGGCGTCTGTTCACTTGATTACCCAAACACTTGAAAACCAAAATAGTATCAAAAAGCTTACTAAATGTATACAATTGATTTTATTTGGATTTAATCGACATTTTGAAATCAAATGAGGTGATCTTTCAAAATAATTTACTTAGTTATTGACATTATACCGTGTTTATACTACGATGTTGTTTAATCTGGCAGAATTGACGATGTAATTACTAGATTCCTACTGGGACTTTGTTGTGACAACGATGTCATCCATAAACAGTAAAGTTTGGAGTCAATATATGTAATAAAAGGAGAGGAAATGAACTGAAATGTCACGGGAGAAAACAAGCTCTTGGCTTATCAAAAATGAATATGCATCTTAAATTTGGTTTTGCAATGAACATCACCTGTGTATAAGTCAAGGATTTCTTTACCACAAATCATGTTGAACACCTACCAAATTCTTTAATAGATATGAACTAGTTTGGGAGTTTGACTGCATCTAATAACAAATGTGATATCCAATCCTTATTTTTGCGGAGATGTTATGTATAATGATCTTAAATTAAGATACGAAACATGTAAACTAATTGTTCCTTTCAGTAAACTCATTCTTAACCTTTCATAATTTTTTGCCCTCAATGTTCTTCAACTTCGTACTTTAATTGGCCTTTTCAAATTTTTTGGTTCGAACGTCACTGATGAATAAATAAAGGCAACAGTAGTATACCGCTGTTCGAAATTCATAAATCGATTGAGAAAATCAAGGATTGGATATCACATTCATAAATCTATGAGTCTCTTCTAGGCGAAACACCAATCTGGCGTACAAAATTTGAATCCTGGTATCTATGATGAGTTTATTCCTAAACTTTCCAAAAAACGTCTTTATTGTTTTCCAGTTATTAACACTTAAGTTCCTTCTTCCTGTCGATACATATATTGTGGCTTTGCGTATTCTCATGTTTTTCTCCACTGCTTATGACATCTTTACACAAATCTGTCGGAGGTGTAATAGTTTACATTATAGAGAACATGATTTATTTATCAGATCAAATTAACTTTCAGTAACTACGAGAACTCATAGATCGATAATATGTGTCTCTTGTCTTTTTGCTATATGTTTTTGAGCTAAGTACCATTATAATGAGTGAAGCCATTTCCAACTGGTTTTTACGGTTTGTTCTTATGTTGAGTTGTAACACCACTGTTCTTGGTAATAATGAGGGTTAGGCGCTCGTAAATAACATTCACGGTACCAATTTTACTGCATCAGATGCGCATTTTGGCGATCAAAGTCGATTCAGTGATGTTCGAGACCGAGATATTAGATAATTCAAAATATAATACAAACTGTAAAAAGCTGATACAATCGAAAAGGACCATAAAGTAAAGCCAAACTGAACAATAAGGGAGATACATTCCTTTATCTAAATGATTTTCTAAAATTTATTTCAATAAAACAATATCGGTATTTTTCTGACAGTACAGTACTGGTAGTACTAAGCTTCTGAGATGGTGATTCCTTCGGTACTCGCAAAGGTATCAACCCAGTGGTAGTAATAACATTAACGGTACCAATTTTACTGCGCCATATGCGTATTAAAGTACCCTTAGTATTACTCGAGGACGAAATATTTGAAAATCCAAAACTGTGAAGAGCTGATATAACCAAAAAGCCCAAAAAGGTATAGCCAAAAATGGACAGGAATATAACATGCACCAACAGGCTAAACCCTTCCACATTATTTATGTACCTGTCCAAAAGCAGGAACCTGTGATCTAGTGGTTGTCGTTGGTTGTTGTCGGCATATTCGTATTTCGTTCATTGTAATAGTATAAATCATGCTGTAGGTTTTCTCCTTTGAATTCATTCACATTTTGTCTAAACTTGACCGTTTGTAGCTTATTGTACGGCATGGATTTTGCTCTTTATTGAAGGTCGCACTGTGACCTATGGTAACTATCCTTGATCTTGATGGATAGTTGTCTCATTGGCAATAATACTACATAATCTTAATTTTACATTCAATATACTTATCATATCATTTAATTTTTATCAAAATTATTCACAATTCCTATTGATTTTAATTCCCCTCCTGGACAATTTCACTACTTATCTCTTGATTTTAAGCTCAGGAAGACAATAGTGACACCAAAACCAATAAGCACAAACTGTCTTCTTTAAGATTTATTTCACTGGTCTGGAATTTTACATACAATTAATATAAATCTTGCATGACAAAGACGAAAAACGAATGGGATGATATTTGTGAAGAATTTTCTTTCAGAAGCGGATTAAAGAAAGTATGGGTTGAACTGATTAAGAAATCTACTATTAGAAATGACAAATGCCTTGATAACATCCAAGATTTTGTTAACTTTCAAGGAACTATTGCAATGATAGATATACGGATTTGGCTATTATTTTATTCTCAATCGATTTATGACTTTTGAACAACGGCATACTACTGTTGCTTTTACTTTATGTCCCCTTTTGGTCATATAGCTCTTCGTGAATTCAAGTACTTTAAAACACTTGGCTTTCAATTTTTTTGGTTTTAGCGTTCAAGCAGAAGGTAAATCACTAAAAGTGCTGCGAACACACCAAAGTGCAATTTCCAATTTCTAGCACTGAGGCGATACCGCCGCTGGTGAACTGGTAGTATACGAGGGTATCATAAGCTCAATAGTCTTCGGTATTTACATGATTTATTTCATACCCTTCCTAGAAATTATAAGGAAACTAAAGTTCCAACTCCCCCAGGAAAAGTTTACCTTGGATGGTTTGGTTATTCTGTTATGTCTCCTTATTCAGGTACTTATACAGCATAGGCTTTCAATTGTATTTCTGTTTGAGTGATCCTTATGAAGTTTAATCAAGAAAAGTGCTTTGGACGAACCAAATCTATTGTCTTATTTACATTTTCTAACACGATGTAGATACCGATGCTGGTGGACTGTTAATCCCCGAGGGTATTAGTAGTCAGTGCTTCGGTACCGACATGATATATAACATACCTTTCCCAAATTATTCGTTGATCAAATAAGAAATTACTAAGAAACTAACCTTAAAACTTCCTCAGGCAAAGTTGACCTTCGACGGAGATGGCTTATCTTTTAGGTCCTCTTTCGGTAATACAGCTCACAACACATTCAAGTACTTTTACATCATTGACTGTCAATGTTTTGTGTTTGAGCGTTCTTAATAAAGGTAAATCTGGAAAAAAAACGCTTCGGACTCATAAATTTTATAGTTAATTTCCAGTGAAATTTTTTTTCTTTTGGATTGTTTAAAAATTATTACGAACACCTAGAAGAATTTCAACTTGTAATTATATAAGCAATAACAAGCTGATCGAGAGAAACAACACGATATATTAAAAAGTACAATATCAATTAAATTGCGCACAACTATACTATCAAATAAATAAAATTCCTCTTATTTTTAGGAACACCATTGTGGCTGCTACTTCATATTGCACCAATCAAGAACGAAAAAGATCAGATAGTTTTATTCCTGTGTACATTCAAAGATATTACTGCTCTTAAACAGCCAATAGACGAAGATGGAGCAAAAGGTATGGAACACATACTAAAGAAGCTTCGTAGTTCGATACATCACTAATAGTTTGATATTGCGACAAAAGAAAAAGTGAAATTATCAAATTTTACACATCCTTTACTGAATTTATTCCAAAAATTATCACATCTAATACTATTGATTCAATTAGACCGAATGTATGAGTGATTTTCTGTGTGTTTCTTTTTTCCATTTTATTATTAAATAATTGTTTAGAATCTGTAAATAAAATTTGGAAAACCTAAAAAAAGAACGAAAAGAAAAAAAGAGATATGTTGTTTTTGTAGGATTTTTCACAGTTTATAGACATTTACGTTATTTTACAAATTAACATAAAAATATCAACGTCTCAAATGATTCGTTAAAACAAAAAGAATACACGTCTACAAAGAAGTATTATGATGTCATATCTAATAACATACCAGTAAAAAAAATTAAATACATGACATTTTAGTTTGTTTGTTTATATTTGTACTTTTTTTTGTGGAAAGCGTTTACAGTGATTTTTATAATAGTTATTGCACTTTATCAATATTGTATAATGATGATGATGGTGATTATAATAATAATAATTACATTTTTTTTTTTTTTTGCAGGGCTTAGCAAATTTGCTCGGTTAGCCAGATCAGTAACTAGAAACCGTTCTACATTATTACAGTTTTCATCCCACATGCCAAACACGAAGTTTGATAACTCGAGACCATCTCAAATAGCCAATGTAGGTATATAAAGTTACATTTGACCATCTCAAATAGCTTATGTAGGTGTAGAAAGTTACATTTGTGACATTTAGATGCAGTTCATAAAGATAATCCTTTTATTAGATTTAAAGCTATTACTCGACGTTTGTCAGCTTTATTTTCCGGAGACATAAAAAAAAACAACAATGAGGATATACTCTATACGCAAATGTATAATTTAAGTTAGATGTCATTCTAGAGCGACAAATAATGGACATTATTGTCATTATGTCTTGATTTCTTCTAACATTCAAATTCAAAATAACGAAATTTGAATTTTGCACCAAAAATATTTTAAGAAAGTGAGAAGTCCAAGTTTGATTTTGCATCATTTTACTTCTTTTAGTACAAGTGAATCTCATGCATGTTAAACCGACAAATTAATACTTTAGTGTCATTACCATAACGAAACCTTAACCTATGTGATTGGAAACGGATGCAACGCCATAAAAAGCTATCTATGCCAGATTAAAGATAAATTCTCAAGTACCTGCTGTTCCCAATGATTTTTCCTCCTTTGATAAAAGAAAACCTAGACAGGTAAATGTCGGTATAAGCCAAATTGTTGATAACCCTTCGTAATAATGAATCACGTCATAAGTTTCCCTTATGTGCCAGAGTACATAAAATAATATGTGTATTTAAAAAAATACACCAAAGCATGTGATGTTTAAGTTGTTTTAATGTTTCTTTCCTCAATATTATCCATGTATTTGCTTTTAATAATGATTAGTTCTTATAATATGGTATTGACGTCTAGCTTTCTACAGTTTCTCCCCTGCCACCATTTCAAGAATACCATACAACATAAGTTATTGCATATTATTTTATTATTTCAATATCTGCCATTGTATTCTTTTGTTTTTTGGCCGATAAGAAAAAACCTAGCCAATTATATTACACTTTTGGAAGTAACAGTTACACGTTTAACGCGAATGTTCCTTAATTTGTCATCATGCAAACTACAAAATCGGTAGATATTTGAACAATTGTTAACTCTCCCCAATGTACATTTTCTTTTGGTTTATGTTACAGATGATGAACTTAAATGCTGATGTATTACCACAGTATCGACTAGAGGCTCCTAAGACGCCACCACATATCATACTTCATTACTGTTTATTTAAGACAATATGGGATTGGATGATTCTATTGTTGACGTTTTATACCGCAGTGACTGTACCGTACAATGCAGCCTACCGAAACAAAACAATGGACCAAGTACCTTTGTTGGTTGTTGACAGCATCGTCGACGTTGTGTTCTTCGTCGATATCATTTTAAATTTCCATACCACATTCGTAGGTCCAAGTGGAGAAGTTATATCCGATCCAAAAATAATCCGCATGAATTATCTCAGAAGCTGGTTTGTCATTGATCTGCTTTCGTGTTTACCCTATGACGTATTTAACGCATTCGAATACGTAGATGAAGTAAGTTCAATAGTACAATATAACTTATTTAAAAATAGAGTTAGTTTTCCAACTCATTTTAACAGATTAAACATTTTATTTCATAAAAATCAAGTATCAGTATGCAGAAGAACATTGATCAATAAGTTTTGTCTTGATTTGAATTACCAAAAAAATAATAGATAAATCGACCAATTTAGGAAACTGGAAAACATTTAATAAAATGTTGAATAACTATGCCTATTTTGGCAAAAACAAGTGAACAACACAAGTTAATGTTAAAAAATGTATATACATTCAAAAATTTAATTGAACTTTAAGCTGTCTAAAAATCATTTATTTTAGTTTTTATTGCTCCCTTTGTTTCTTATCCACAATCAACATTAAACATCTATACTTAAAACAAGTGAGATAATCCACAATCAACATTAAACATCTATACTTAAAACAAGCGAGATAATCCACAATCAACATTAAACATCTATACTTAAAACAAGCGAGATAATCCACAATCAACATTAAACATCTATACTTAAAACAAGTGAGATAATCCACAATCAACATTAAACATCTATACTTAAAACAAGCGAGATATCCATTTTTTCTTTCTTCAGGAAAAAAAATTACGCAAAGTGAAGAAGATAAGGTTTAACTATAAATGTTATATATTTTCCTTTTGGTTAGTTTGCAAATTTGATGCAATTCATGTACACTTTTCAATGTGATTTCCTAAAATAATAGAATAATCTGGGATGCCATGTAGTGTTTCATGAATGTGTATGTGGGACTGAAGAAAGCATTCCCATACCAAATTACACTTTGAAAATTAAATACATATAATTTGTGAACAACAGTTTTCAGTAGTTTTTTATTGCGTGTGTATATTTTCCCTAACGTACGTTGAAGTGCGGTTGGGATGTTGAAATGACACTGTAAAGACTCACCAAAGATACCATGCTTATATAACCTTGTAGCACTGAAAAAGTCGTAAAACGAAATTTATATTCTTTTTCTTTACAAACACCATAACAGAATAGTTAATACAAAATGCTCGACGTCGATGATCCTATGATCATTGTACATAAACTTGACGAAAATTCATCGAACAAAAACACATGCATTTTTTATGGAGATATGGTGATATTCAGACAATTTAATGAATGTTTTCCTTATACAATGTGCATATTTTATATGAAATATGAATGTTTATTTAGAAAATAACAAAGTTATGTAATAATTTTTCAGTTCTTTGTTTAGTTTAACATACGAAAATTGTATGCAAAATCACCTCCGTTTAACTGTTACACGAACCTTACTTAATATTTAAGTCATAAATTTATTTATATTTTAATTGGCATTGGGGTGGGGATAGCTAATATTCCAACTTGCCCGTATAACTCCGTAATTCTTCAATATATTTCTTTTTACTTTATATTACAGCGCATCAGTACATTGTTCAGTGCATTAAAAGTTGTCCGTCTTCTGCGTTTAGGACGAGTTGTGAGAAAACTTGATCATTATCTGGAATATGGAGCTGCTATGTTAGTTTTGCTCATTCTCGTTTTCATTTTGTTTGCTCACTGGTTTGCTTGTATTTGGTATTCAATTGGATTAGGGGAGCTTGGTGATGGTATAGAATATGGATGGTTGACAACACTAAGCACCGTGACAAATCAACCATTTACACTGTCAAATACGTCAGCAACAACTGAGTTTGGTGGCGGGCCTTCAAAAACAATGCGATATCTTACTGCCTTGTATTTTACTCTATCATGCATGACTGGTGTAGGATTTGGGAACGTAAATGCTGCGACAGAAAACGAAAAATTGTTCTCAATTTTCATGATGATAATTGGAGGTAAGAAGGGTTCCTAAAGACACATACATTCTAGACAAAAAGTTGATATTTACTTTGTAATTCTGACTGCCTGATTTAAATATCAATTAAATAAGATTTGGTGTATACGTTTATGAGACAGCAAAAGAACGTTACACAGGACCAAAAAGACAGCCATAATATAGTTATTCTATGCAACAGTTGCTACTGAAAATCGATTATGAAGTTTTTAACGCCCTTAGTATATGTTATAATCAAGAAAAGGAAAATTCAACGTTATATGAAAAAAGCCCGCAATATATAGACATGATTATAGAAATCTGACCTAGTATGCAAAATACGCACATAAGACTGCAATCTGTCTTGACAAACACTATGAGTAATAACATGTTACCTTGCTCTTAGCAATCACATACATATTCTTATTTTGGCTGACCGATTTATTTACTTTTTAAAGAATTGAGATATTACAATACATGTAATAGAATATGCACTTATAATTTAATTACATATCTTTAGGGGTGAATATTACTCACTGCATGTGATTGTGTCCATCACAACTTTATAGTACATCGTGAGACATATTTCTTTTATTTTAATTTGCTTCAAGCTCCTTTTGTCGACATATGATTAAGTAAGTTCAGTGAAAATAACTGCATTTAATATTAAAGAAATAAAATATAAAAATTTAGAACAAGTGACCAGAAGACAAAATGGTACTTAGCAAATTACTCAATTAAACGAAATCGAACTCTGTTATGCGACTTCAAACTGTTGCGGTCGTTTACGACTATATCTATATATATACCGTTTATGTAAAGGGGTGTATATCATGCAACTTTGTTTATTATCTTTTACTTATACATGATAATAATGTAAAAGTCGTAACAACCAACACGTTCGTAGTAAAATATCGTAATAATCTATGCCAAAGTACGTAATTGACTAATATCTTTTTAATTGTAGCTTTGCTCTATGCAACCATTTTCTCAAACGTAACAACAATATTTCAACAGTTCTACGCAAACTTTGCTCGTTATCATGACATGCTCAATAGTGTCCGAGAGTTCATGAAGCTACATGATGTTCCAAAAGCCTTAAGTGAGCGTGTCATGGACTATATTGTATCTACCTGGGCCATCACAAAAGGAATTGATGCTACTAAGGTGAGTGCGATATAATCTTTGAAGCGTACGTTTTCAATGAAAATTCTTTCGCCTTTTTATAATAACATAAACGGTACTAATTTTTCTGCACCAGATGCGCATTTCGAAAATAAATGTCTCTTCAGTGATGCTCGATGCCAAAATATTTGAAAAACCAAAGCTTATTAAAAAAAATGAAGAGCTTATAAACCAATTACGATGCTAATGTTGTTGTTAGTCAAGTAGTATCCTACAAATAGATATAATACCTTACAAATACTACTATATTACAATATTTCGGCAGTTTACACTCAAAAATATACATTTTACCTCACTTCTTTGCAAATTTATAAGCGCACAATAAAAAAGGGGAAGATACCAAGGGTACATACAAAACTCATAATTTGAAGAGAAAAACAGATACCGCCATGAGGGAAAACGAAAAATGACTAAAAGACGAATAAGTCCACATCACGCTACATAGAAACCTATAGAAAAAACAGCACGAACACTACCTAAAACCAAGGGTAAAATCAGGTGCTCCAGAAGGTTCAGCAGTTTCTGCTTTTCATGCTGCACCCGTCATGTTACTCATTCAAGTACAAATCCGGTAATAAGACTCATTCGGTGATGTCATAATCGTGGTAAAATGGACGGAATGGTGGTTGTGACAATTGGTACATAACAGTGGTCATCTATGACACAGATATTCCATAACAGTCAACCAACTCGTGATATCCCCTTTTAAACTTTCGAAAGGATGGCTTCAACTTAACAACTGGAACCCTTTACCTAATAGCTCCTTGTAAACAGCAACCATGTATCAAGGAAATCATGATAGGAAACACAAGCTCTGGAATATCGTAAAACTGGGAGATACATACTCCATTTGCATGCGATGCTAGAATGTTGCTACATGAAAATGGAAAGTTCACAATTGAAAAGCTGAAATCATTACTTTTGTCGTAAAGTTATGTTCTCAGTCGACCCTCATTGTCAATTTCTACATGTAAATCAAGATATGAGACAAACTTAGCTGGACCTGTGGTATCCTTCATTTCAAATTCAATGGGATAGATGCGTTCAACATAGACAATAAACTATTTATTATTTAGTGAGAGGACATCATTTGTAACGTGGATTTAAAAGATAAGGCTAGCTTCTTTTCATTCGTCTTGAGAAGCTCTTGTATGAAGTTTGTCACGTATGTATAAAGGAACAAATCGGTAAGAAGAGGAGCACAGATAGTTCCCATAGTATCTTGATGGTGTCAGTTTCCAGACAAACAAGGTCATGTACAAATAAGAACACCATAACATGTGGACCATAAAGTCCTCGGACAAATACACAAAGACATGTGGACAAACAAAACAATTGACAAATACACAATGACATGCGGACAAACAAGGCAATGTACAATTACACAATGAAACGTGAACAAACAAGGACATGGACAAATACACAATGACCTGTGTATAAACAAGACCATGGACAAATACACAATGGCATGTGGATAAACAAGTCAATGAAAAGATTAACAATGCATGTGGATGAAAAAGACCATGGACAAATACACATTGACATGTGGATAAAAAAGATCATGTAAAAATTCACAATGCATGTGGAGAAAACAAGATCATAGAAAAATGCACAATGCATGTGGATAACCAAGACCATGACAAAATACACAATGACATGTGGATAAACAAGACCATGGAAAAGTACACAATGAAGGTGGACAAGATAGTCAAATACATAATGACAGGGGAACGAAAGTTGCAATGAACAAATACACAGAAGAATGAAGACGAAAAAGATTAGAAACAATTAGACGATGCCAGACAAGACCTGGGATACAAAATTCCATGGACAAATATATATATCCAGAAAGACAAATGGACGGACAAGACCATGGACAAACAAGTAACGATGAGTATGCAAATAATTCCATAGACAAGAGCCACATGACAAATAAATTATGAGCACTATGGACAAAAGCACTAGATCGAGAGAAAACATTATCAAATGGTTGAGTTGAAAACTATCATGGAGATATCGGTATTTCAGATGACTTTTTACGACCGAGGCATTTCAAACAACAGTAACAAGCAAGACAATAAAAAACAATAATCATAAATAGTCAGAAAAAATTTCAAAGATACACCCTGATAAACATGTGCATTTTTTGGAGTTCATTTCATCTGATTGCCTCTATTTGGTAACTTTTAATGTTTTTTTATGAATTAGAAACTAATTTCTTAGGAACCATTGCTTTGGTTTCATGTATCTATATACCAAGAAAGAGGTAAGAAGATAGTAAGCATTAATCGGAGAAAGACAAGACAAAATCAAATCTTCAGACGAAAAGACGGTCATTAGTCCACGAACGATTGAGCAACACGAATGCCACAATGGAAAATAAACTTTGCAAATTTGGGGACATGCATAAGTTTAATGAATATAAAAAAGATGTGATATTATTGCCAAAAGAACAAATATCCTCAAAAAACCAAAGGAGCTTATTGCCGAAAAATTCTTAGTATAAAATTAAAAAACTATCGATGATTTATATCGTAGCGTGAACCATTTAAAATAGGCGTTTAACATTCAACCAATGTTTAAACATGTATGAAGTCACAAGATCAGATGTCACAGATGAGGAAAGTAAGGTTGATCAAGACAAAGACGAATACTAAATCCGTAAAAAAACGAAGAAACTACCGAATTTTTACATTACCTTACATCTCAATTTATATGATGATAAAATTTAATCTTTATGGTGTCAGTTAATTTCTGGCAATACTACTCTATCAATACATCACCCATTTTTGATTTTGACACCAGAACAGATGCTCTAATTTTGGGTTGTGTCATCTCAATGGTAAAGCAACATATAAAGTTTACATTAAAAGAGGACAGCAAATACGTTTACTCTCAAATATTTCTAAAGAAGCTTTCTTATAAAACATTGTATTACACGTTACAGTTGAGTTTAACGTGCACATTGAATAATAATTATATAATATGGTCATTATTTTCTTAGGTTTTGAATTATTGTCCGAAAGATATGAAGGCTGATTTATGTGTGCATCTCAATCGAAAGGTGTTTTTAGAGCATCCTGGGTTTAGACTTGCAAGTGATGGGTGTTTAAGAGCTCTAGCTATGCACTTTAACATGACCCATAGTGCACCAGGAGATTTAATTTTTCATCAAGGAGAAAGCCTGGATGCCTTATGTTTTGTTGTGTCTGGTTCATTAGAAGTGATTCAAGACGATGAGGTAGTTGCTATATTAAGTAAGTGGGACTTCAAATTATTATCTTTGAAATGAAAAGACAAGAAAATTACAATGTAGTGTATTGACAATTACTTCAACTGTAAAACCGCCATCATTCAGATACATTTGAGACACTGAAGTTGATAGTTTTGCATTATAATCCTTTACTTTATTTTTTAAGTTTGCTGGGTTTGTGTGTTGTTTTTTTCTGTGTGTAGGTATTATCAGATAGTTCGTATGGTACTTAATTATTTTACATTCGATGTAGGTATTATCAGATAGTTCGTATGGTACTTAATTATTTTACATTCGATGTAGGTATTATCAGATAGTTCGTATGGTACTTAATTATTTTACATTCGATGTAGTATTATCAGATAGTTCGTATGGTACTTAATTATTTTACATTCGATGTAGGTATTATCAGATAGTTCGTATGGTACTTAATTATTTTACATTCGATGTAGGTATTATCAGATAGTTCGTATGGTACTTAATTATTTTACATTCGATGTAGGTATTATCAGATAGATCGTATGGTACTTAATTATTTTACATTCGATGCTTCTAATTACTACGCACTGGACGTTAAGCAACCAACAATCAATCAATCAATCTAATTAATACTTCTAAACTGTATTTTTATGGTTTACAAATATACGATTTGCCCATTGAAACTACACTGTAGATATCGAACCTTGGAAGAAGTACTCATTTTACAAGGAATAATATATATGTATTATGTATACCGAATGCCTATCAAGTGGGTGCAAAAATAAAATAAGAAATCATGAATTTTATATTTCACCTACAGGTTCATAAGTAAAACACCAGCAGAAAATTAGGTTCTGTATTAATTTGATGTTTGAGCATTTGCTAATACATAGCAGAAAGTGAGACATTGTTTTTATATGATTTGCAATGAATGTTTACTCTGGATTAAACAGCAAAGAAATAACAGTAAAGAATATGAACTTTATGTTGCAGGCAAAGGTGATGTATTCGGGGACAATTTCTGGAAGGAACAATCTATTGGACAGTCAACAGCTAATGTTCGTGCACTAACATATTGTGACCTCCATACCATAAAACGAGGGCGCTTATTAGAAGTTTTGGAGTTTTATCATGCATTTGCAAATTCATTTGCACGGAATTTAACCCTTACATATAATTTAAGACATAGGGTAAGTCCAGATATCGAGTTACACGGTTATATGCAAGATCATATATTTGATATGTAAAACTTTATATAAAAATCAACAAAATTAGTGTTCACACGATGATCTAGCAATATAGTTTATTTGCGTGGTGAGTTTACTGATTAAAATGCGTTTCTGGTTAACCCATTTAGTTGAAAATTGAATAATAACACATATCAAAATGCAAAGTCCATTAAGTGATTTTATAAATTTTCGCATAATCCTTAGATTCCTGGGATTAAAAAAAGGAAAACACTGTTTTTGATGACATTCTATAATACAATTGAAGATAAGAACATAAAAACTCAATGTTGATGGTTTCAAAATAAATAATTGGTGATAAGATATGACATTAGACAAGCACTGCCGAGGTTGCTGAAATGGGACAGGCACATAACGGTGTGGTTAGGTTAAACTAGTTTTATTTAGATCTTTAATCTTCTCTTTTTAATTTCCTTCACAAGACTTACACAAGATGCTTAAAACAACATACAAGAAAAATGAGGAAAGATAAAGCATTTAACTCTAAAATAACGGAATAATAAATTACAAACAAAACAATAAAAAACAATTATATATCTACGTATATAGTGAGCAAGTTTTAAATACAACAACATCATGTAATACTCAGAACGAACTGCACAGAATTTCAGTGTAGGGAAAAACCCAAGAAACATTTAGTTTTGCTTTAAATAATTAATTAGCTAATTGATGTTGTCCAAAAAAATGTCAGACGTACTGATTTAACAACGAGAATACAACTTTAACTTTTATCAAAAAGTCTATAAGCTCAAAAAGAAAGACAGTCCCTAAACTTGTTAGCTTTATAAATAATAATACTCATAAAAACCTGGATGCTATATACCACTTGTTTCCATTCAATTTCTGTAGCTGGAATCTTGCTCCTACAATAAATATCTGTATTTGTGATAACATTTACTGAAGTTTTGACCAAATTTATGATATAAATATCCCTACTGGAAACTTTTTGAGTAATCAAAATATTACATTCATTGAAATTCATTCCTGCAAACACGCATATATTTTACTAATTGAAATGTGCACAATCCATAAGAAAGTCACCAGAAAATAACCACCAAAAAGAAAATTGTTAGTTAGAAAGGAAAATCTATATATTTTGATATGAATATTTATATGAGACATTCTAAGGTCTAAAAAAGGACTAATGTTTAACTTATGATATCTGTTTTTGCAGTTAATATTTAGAAAAGTTGCCGATGTAAGAAAAGAAAAAGAACTCGCTGAAAAGCGAAAAAATGATCCTCCTCTAGAGCTATCAAGTGACCATCCGGTTAGAAAGCTCATTTCCAGATTTAGAAAAATAAGCGATACAAAGGGAATGCAAGTTTTGTCTGACCTTGAAAGGGGCAAAGAGACACCTGACAACTCTGAGAAACCTAGAGGGTTCACTCGTTTAATAAATGTCACAGAGGGATCATCTGATACAGCCCCTCCTGCTAAGTTAGGAGGTGGTGCTTCCAAGTGGGGGAAATTTCTAAATGGTGGGCCAGTTGAGTTAACATCCGATGATAATCAAAATATTGTGACGACACAGATTGATAAAGATAAAGACAAGGATAAGGAAGATGGCACGAAAACTCCTTCAGAGGCACCAAAAGCTACAGTAAAACCATTGTCAAAATTTGGCAAGCTACTATTGAGAAGGGGAAATGATTCAATTCCTGAGGAAGATGACGAAAAAGAAAACAAACATGTGAAAACACAATTACAAAAATCGGCTTCTGGCGACAGTGGTGTAGCTCGAAGCAATTTAAGAATAGATTCAATTTACCATGATAGCAATGAAGCAATTTCTTCTCAGAGAGACTCTATAGGCAACTTATCTGTTGGTGAGAGACAAGTATTGACATCACTTTATGATATTCAATTAGACTTGAAAGAAGAAATGGAGTTTTTACACAATAAGATATCAAGAATAGACGATCAGTTAGCAGAAATAATAAGACTATTTTCTCCACGTTCAACACCTTATTCACATAGTTCGGTATATCCAGACTCTAAAACAACTTCCCCGAAAAATACTTCAACGCATAGTATTGATCAATTGTCGGTCGAATCCTCACCGAAACGTAACGTTATAGTTCCTAAAACTGTGAAAACGTCAATAGATTCATCAACAGGTCCTCAGTCTTCTAAATCATCTGTCGCTTCTGTACCGGAAAAAAATTCAGATTCTTCAGGCAGTCCATCTAGGTCATCCTTTGGCCGTAAGTCCATAATTCATTTATCACAAGAACCTTATCTTAATTTAGATACTGCACGATCAAGATCTACTTCAGGTGCTTCGTCTCCATTATCAACATTCCATACAAATGAATCTGAACAGGCCGAGTCTCGTGATGGTGATACATCGTGTGGTACTTCTGATCACAGTGCAAGTATAGCCACAATGGCCGACGATGTCTTGAAACTGAATCTACATTCGAAACTTTCAAAAATTAGTCCTAAAAGATCTCGAACAAAACCGGGACAACAGCTTAAATATAGCTCAAATTTTATAAGCAATGCCCACCAGCAGCAGGCTGGAAATAAAGACACGGATAGCAATAGAAACTCGCCACATACAGACATTTTAAAATCATATCATTTATCAAGTGATGACGATGGCAGTCATATAAAAGATAGAGACTTGGATATTTTATAGACAGAGTTTGATCAACTTTCTCGAGGGCTTTCATAGATAGATTATTGATTGTTGCGATAGAGTTTGTTATCATATTAGAAAGAAAAAGTTTTACATACTAAGTACATTAAATGTGTTGTTTGATTAATGATTGACAAATATGTCAGGGATTAGTTTGGAATCAGGATTCAATAGCAATGTGTATGTCTCGAATATTGGCGAATTAATGACTGACATTTGGTATGCGTTGAACTACAATTTTGAATATGAATACCATAACATTTAAAGAGTCTTGTGATATTGTGTTCGCATTGAGAAGATTAAGGCGTGCATATATGGTATATTGTTATCGTAGTAATTTTTCTTGTTCGTCTTATTCCAATTCTTTCGTCATGAATTTATTTAGTGAAAAATGGAAGCAATCATCTTCCAGTTTTTTTTATCGCTCGTAAACAATATCAATCCATGATTATGGCATGTGTGCTTGTGTTTTGATGCTATCTAAAGGATTAAAGTCAGCACAAGTATTTTATTTGAAATTAATGAATTAAAAATATTTTTCCATTGTATTGTTGAGAACATTTAATAACAAAAAATCACTCCCATAACTATGCTGCAACATACTTCATAATAAATTATAAGAATAAAAATGTAAGTCCATGCAGTACAAAATAATTATAAGATTAAAAAAAGTCATTGCAGTACAAATATGTATTTTGACGTAATGTGTTAACAAGTATCATATTCTATACTAAACAATTAAATTTTCAAAGATAGTTTACCTTTAACTTATTCAAAAATGAATGATTAAGGTAAAAATAATTAAAAAAATTACAATTTTCTACAATTTTTCATTTTCTAGATTTTGGAATTTGAAACGTGATGAAATCAATGTCCTTTGTATTTCAATGACACATATGCAAGATACAAGGTGAATTAATGACAGTTTAAAAGTCTTAACTTTAGACGAGAGAAGTATTTTAATCATATTTAGTATCTAAATATTTTCTGAGTCGTTATGTATAGGAAAATGCATTTAAGATGTCTTGTTTTAAAGTCGTAATAGCGTTAATGCCGAATATATACCAAAAGAATCTCAAAATAAAAATGGATTAATCTTAACATGTTAGTTTTCACTTGCTACAAAAAGAACCCCTTTTTGCATATTTGTACTAGCACTGAGTCGATAACAATGCTGCTGAACTGTTAGTAAATGTGGTTATCATCTGTTAAATAGTACATAAGCTGGCATGGTTTATGATTTATTTTTCTAAAATATCCCGTTGAAAATTTCGAAAAAAATACGGTTGTAACTCCCTCAGGCAAATTTGACCCTAGCTAAATTTGGTTTTCCTTTTCGGTCCCAACTTCGTCATGCATACGTATTTTTACATCCATAGCTTTCAAATATTTGGGTGTGAGCGTTCCTGATGAAGGTAAATACAGAATAGCGCTTCGGACGAAGGAAATTTATAAAGTAATATTTTCCATTGTCACAAAAACTGTTAAATGTTTTGCTTTCTTGAGAATTTCCCTGTGTGTGTGGTGCAATTCACTTTGAACAAGAGCAAGGGATGTACTTCATACTTATTCAATTCTGTTAATTTTCATTTAATAAAATGAATGACGCAAATATGCAAAAAATATGGAAATTTGTATTATAATGATTGACACTGCACTATTCGTATTAATAGTGGAAAATTTTTAAACAAAGAGTAATGTTTTGTAATAAAAATCATGACATCATGACGGTTGCTACGGAAATTATAGACAATCTCAATAGGAAGAAGGGTTTGCGATCTTCTGACGTTAATTTCTAAAACAATAAATTGCTTAAGCACACAAACTTCCTTGTTTATATAAAGGAAAAGTAGCAATCCAGAAATTTTAAGATTTATCGTCTATGGTGGTAATAATGCTACCGTTTTTCAAGCAGACAATTGTTCAACATTACTACTTGTGGACAGTACCTATTATATGTCAATTGATAATGTCATCGTAATGTCGTAAATGACTTATCTACACGGACTTTGTACGATTCTAATGTAGGGCAGTATTTGGATATAGTTAAACAAGTTTATTTAAATTGTGACGAGTACAATAATTACCGTCGTCATACCGATTGTTTGTAATTGTAAGCTTTCCATCAATTAGTATACTCGCGTCACCATGATTACAAGATTGTTTACTTCGCAGAGTGATCCTTTCCTTTCGAGTTAAATTATAAGGTCACACCCCCACCCCCAAAAAAAACCACTCGTTCCTGCGTGTCTATACCTTTGCACCTAGCACAAACATTTCACAAATGATTGGTATTGAAATAAACTGATTACGCTAAAATTAATTTGATTTTTAATTTATTATACATATTAATTGTACACAATTCATTTGAACAATATGGCAAAGATGTCGAAAAATCAAACATTGTTTAAAAAGAGACATCAGTTTTATCGTTGCCTATTCACTTTTTGTTTTAAATCGTTTCAACTGATATCATAGATTTCAATCTTATATTTACATTTAATTTAAATCAAATTAAGTATTTGAATTAACTTGCTATGAACATACATGCAATCACTCAATTCAGTGTATGCTTTGCTGTACTAGGACCTTTCGGTTTGATTCGAAAAAGCTTTTTTACTGAAATAAAGTACACGTTAGTCATAAAAATCATCTAATTTTTTCCCTAATGAATTTAACAGAATAAAGTACTAATGTATATGAAGTTATTTGCTATTAAACTGTATTTATTTATGTGTATAAATCCACTCTACAATAGTTCTTAGACGTATTGTGAGGATGCTAGCTATAGTCCGAACAATATAACTTACTTATATTTTTTACAATAAAGATTGTTTACGCTTATTTCAGAAAAATATGTTTCCTTTGTACATAATGCACATTCCATACCTATTGTATTTTTGCTACCTTTAATGAATTGTTAAACATTTATCAACTCAAATTATTGTGATTTTTAACGTTCATACATATCTTTCACTAATATCATGTTATTTACTGTTATTTGATCATTACAAATTTTACTTTTTCATCGTTATATTGAATGAAAATATGATTTTTATCCCAAATGTGTTTTACCTATTTTTACGCCATATGTAAAGCAATTCAGAACTGAAATAGTTGTTCAATCTTATTCTGATATTATGAAAGTTCATATCAAAATACTATGAAAAGTGTTGTATCCAAAAAATGTTTAGATTCGGGTTCAAATGTAATGTTGGTTCAATGGAATTATTCATCATGATTCAAAAGTGACATAATAATTAGTTGAAACAATTTATTTAAGGATTTATTTCTGCAAAGCAGTCCTTACAAGCAACGTTATATTGATTGGCATTCAACGTGCTTCACGAAACCTCTTTCTAAATCATTAGCATCAATGTTATCACAAGCAAGCCGGGCTTTAAAGTTATTGTAAAAATATCTTCTATTAAGGCGGCGTAAATCCGATAAAATTACAAAGATCTGTTATGGTACATACAATTTCTCTCCTCTTGCAATATTGTTAAAACATTTGACTTTTCTACTCTTAACGCAAGTATTCCCCATCCTAAACTCAAAGACAAACTGAATGAATTGGACCTGATTTGTATCATAAAAAAATGTCAAGCGTAGACATAATTATCTTGTCTTAGAGAGGGATAAGTCGTACTTTGTAAACAAAAATCATTCTGATTCAAACAAAAATGCTCTGAAACTAACATTAAGATGCTTTTTTTCTTGATTCAAAACATATTTGTTACATTTGTAGGACGTGTTTTTCAACAAACAATCGCATTCCCATGGGACTCATCTGTGCTCCACTCATTGCCTTTGTTCCTTTATTCATGCAGGTGCTTCTTAGGAAATATAGAATCTAACACCATCCTCTAATTTCACGGCCTGTTATAAAGTTAATGTCACAAAGGATACACCAGATACAGCTAAGTGTGACTCACATCTAGAAATTGACAATGAGAGTTGGTTGGGAACAAAACTATACTACAAGAGATTATTTTATCTTTAAAATTATATATATTTCCACTTCTATGTAGCAACATGCCAGCAGCGCCTGCATACGGAGCATATAACCCCCCAATTGAAACTATATTCCAGAGCTTGCATTTCCTATCCTGATTTAGTTGGTATACCAATAAATTATTGTTCACTTTTCTTGAATGAGATTTTAAAAATTGGAATAACTTCCAAAAAGTAGCTTTTTATCCTTTACTGGTTTGTGTGTTAAAAGTTTTGTAATTTTACTTTTATTTCTTGGTTGTCATACTATCATCACTCATAGGTCTTACAGGTCCATCGTTAGTAAGTTATGTGTAAAAATGACGGGACGTGCCGCATTCTTTTACTGGTGTAACAAAGTTTGCTCATAATTGGCTTTGACTACTGAACAATGTTGGTTTTGATCACTAATAAACGTTTGCTTTGACAATACGCTCTGCATACGAAGTAAAGGAGATGTACAGTATACGTCAATAAATCAGCAACCAAGCGACATATATGAAAGAGATATCCAGAGGACAATATACAATCTTCAACAATATACAGCCCTGGTAATCATCTTTTAGGATCGTCAGTAAATCTATTTCGTTGCTTTTTGTTTGTAAGTACATCTATCGCGTTCATTTTGGTTTGTCTGTAAATCTATCTCGTTGCTTTTGGTTTGTTTGTAAATCTATCTCGTTGCTTTTGGTTTGTCTGTAAATCTATCTCGTTGCTTTTGGTAAATCTGTCTCGTTGCTTTTGGTTTGTCTGTAAATCTATCTCGTTGCTTTTGGTTTGTCTGTAAATCTATCTCGTTGCTTTTGGGTTGTCTGTAAATCTATCTCGTTGCTTTTGGTTTGTCCGTACATCTATCTCGTTGCTTTTGGTTTGTATGTAAATCTATCTCGTTGCTTTTGTTTGTCTGTAAATTTATCTCGTTGCTTTTGGTTTGTATGTAAATCTATCACGTTGCATTTGGTTTGTCAGTAAATTTATCTCGTTGCTTTTTGGTATGCTTGTAAACATAGAAATAAGGAGATGCAGCATTGTTACCAAGGAGACAAATATCAATAAATTTCAAAGGACAAATATGTGAACAATTACAATCACCGTAAGTTCTTCAAAAATGAACAAAACCAATACTGTAAGCTTTAAAAGGCCCTGTTATAACAACTTGTGAAACATTTCAAAAGATAATCCAATGCTCTGATTTGAACTACAACAATGAACGAAAACAAATATGACAGACAATCCAACAACGAAAACCACATGATTGCAGGATGAAGGACCGAGACAGGCACATAAAAATGTGTCGGGATTAAACATGACCGTTCATTTCTTCTTTAAAGTGGAACAGCGGTTTAACAACACAACATAAGAACAAATTGTAAAGGGCTTAACTCACAAATCGCTACTAAGCACATATATATATATACATAAAAAGAGAAAGAACACAAAGTACCGATAAAAGAGTACTCGCAGTTACTGAAAGTTAGTTCAAAGCCAAATTTTAACTTGGAAATAAACTATAATTCAACTAAGAATAAACAATGTTCTCCCAGACTGTCAAGTAGAACACCTCCAACTGACTAAGTACTAACAGGTCATCAGCAGTCATACGCATGACTTTTGTACAATGATACAACATATCGAGTATCGATTCGACGTAGTACACTAGGTGTTTATATCTTGATAGCAGTATGTGTTTTGTTATGTATTAAAGACAAAATGAATGTTAGTACCGATAAAGACAATATTCAAAGTTTAATTGATAACCTTAAATAATGAATTATTGAAGGAACAATAGGTTTATATGGATAGCATTTTAGTTTACGAGCTCCATAAACAACACCCACTAAAACATTACAATATGATATCCCATTTGTAATAGGATTTCAACGGATACAGCTTCAAAAAGACCCTGCTATAAAAAATTGTAAAACATTTCAAAAGAAAAAAACAACACCTTAATTTAAACAAAAAATGAAAGAATAACTAAAATTGCAGACATCAACCAACGAAAACCACAGGAGTGTAGTTTCCTGGCTCGGGACAGGCACATAAAGAATGTGGCGGGATTAAACATTTAAGGGAGTTCGCATCCCTCCCTAGACCCCGGAACAGTCGTGTAAGAAGTGAAAACAACACTTTATAAATTGCATAAGGCCGAACAGCTTTTTTTTCATTTACCTTCATCAGGAACGCTCATAACCGAATATTTGAAACCCAAGGATGTATAAGAACCGAAAAGTTAAGGAACTATATATATAAATGTATAAGAACCGAAAGAATTGAAGAGCTATTATACCAATATGGACCTAAAAAAGATAGCCAAATCCTTCTAAGGTCAACTTTGCCTGATGTAGTTGAAACCTTAGTTTCTTAATAATTTCTTAATTTATTACGAACAATTTGAAAAAATTTGTTATAAATCATGTCGGTATAGAGGTACAGACTACTGAGATGGTGATACCCTCAGGGACTGATAATCCACCAGCAGCGGTATCGACCTAGTGCTGTAAAAAGTGAAAACAACACTTTATAAATTGTATGCGTATGAAGTGCTTTTCTGGATTTACCTTCATCAGGAACGCTCAAAGTCAAATATCTGAAAGCCAAGGATGTATAAGAACCGAAACAGATGAAGAGCTATAACCCAAAATGGACCTAAAAATATGACCAAATCCATCTAAGGTCAACTTTGCCTCATGGCATTCAAACCTTAGATTTTTAATAATTGATAAACGGACAATTTAAAAAGGTTTGTTATAAATCACGTCAGTACCGAAGTACTGAATACCGAGCTGCTGATACCCTCGGCAACTAATAGTCCACCAGCAGCGGTACCGACCCAGTGATTTAAAAAATGTAAACAACACTTTATAAATTGCATGCGTCCGAAGCTCTTTTCCGGATTTATCTGCATCGGGAACACCCAAAGCCAAATATTCGATGGCCAAGGATGTATGAGAACCGAAACAACTGAAGAGTTATATTACCAAAAAGAACCTAAAAGAATAGCCAAATCAATATAATGTCAACTTTGCCTGATGGGATTTAAAACTTTAGTTTCTTTATAATTTCAAAATTCATAAAAAGACAATTTTAGAAAGGTTTAATCGGGCTTGTACCGCATTAGCCTGCCATTTTGTCTGCTACAAAACGGGAAAATTACAGAAAAACTTTGAGTTATCTTAGATTACAAAATAGCTAGAAAAGAAATTTTCAAATGAAAATTTAATCATTTTTGTTATGCAATAGAAAATCGATCGAATTGTGCATTAAGAGTAATGCAAGTCATGTCCTTAATCAGATAACCGGGTAGGAATTCTATTATTTTAATGTTTCAATCCCATATTGATAAAAGATGATAAATATCAATGAAAACATCTATATTCTGTCAAAATCAATTAGAGTGGCACGGAAATGCAATAGAACATGACAACGAAATGCCAGCGGCATTCAAATGTCCAATTTAGTTTTCTTATTGTTTAACATAAATTTACCTGTCAGACAGACATGCTTTTCTTTGTATTCCATGGTGTTTCTACAAACTTTTCTTGTTATGAGAAAGCTAACATGCATGTTATAATTTACAGGTTTTTCACATAATAAAAATATGGTATTTGTTGTATATGATTGACAATTAACATTTAATTATGTACACGAACATAACCGCGCCGATAAGGCCTACCTGGTCGCGAATATACATTGTCTATCTAGATCATGGTATATATAACTTTGAATTATTCATTCATTATCTAGACGATGCCAAAAATGTTGAACTTCTGTGCAATAAGTGATTTCTCTAACTTATCATCAAATTTGTATCAGATTTAAGTCAATACTTAGAGAATGAAAATTTCATGTAACCATTTCTCAATTATTTTTTTATTCTTCAAATGTTAGAAATTAGAGCGCAGTCCTGAATAATCAACTGCTTCACAAGATTTCTGATAACTATTTTCGAAATCCACGGCTTCTTTTATCAGAGTATTACAATATAATAAAAACACAAAGGATATGGGGTATCCACCCATGACACAAAATCAGTACATGCACAGCAGAAAACACACAAAAAGCAAAGGAA